GGGCTAAAATGGATTTAACAAGCCTAGTCATCGTGTGTGCTATTTCTGGAGAAAAATGAACCCTTTTGATAATAATAAAAACACCACAAGTAAGGCTGTGTTGAAACTAATTGCGGATATTTCAAACACAAACTGTAGTTGAATACAAATCAAACATTATGTTAGAATTATAAGTTTTGAAATTTAAAAATAAAACATATTTAAAAAATTGATAGATTTTTACCATACAACAAATTTACCATAATTTTTCATCCATATAAAAAGGTTTTCTTCTTCTCAGCACACAGTTTAAAACAAATATGATACTCAAATGTAAGGCCATTGGTCAAAATAAACAGTATAAGTTTTCCCCTTTCTGGACACTTTTCCTGTTTCTTTCCGCGAAATGCGTCCTAAGACATTTATTTAGTCATGGTGATTAAAACATTTGATCTATCTCTCGTAATGTTACCACGTACTATACAAACTTTAAAAAGTGCAGACACTCATTGCTCAAAATATATTGCGATACAAAGATAGAGTTATCAGGTTGTCCTCATTGCTCTTATTACCAAACCTTTTAATTCTATCTAAAGTCAAAAGTACTGCTTTTTAGGTAGCCCTAGCTTTGGGGGCATCTTTTTTGTGGTGTAAAGCAAAAGTTGAAATGACATTAGAGCAAACTGTCAGTAAGGTATTTTAACCACCCACTGTCAGTCAGGTATTTTTACGTAAAAACGCTGTCAGTCAGGTATTTTTACCACCCACTGTCAGTAAGGTATTTTTCCACCCACTGTGTCAGGCATTTTTACATCCCATTGTCAGTCAGGTATTTTTACCACCCACTGTCAGTCAGGTATTTTTACCACTCACTGTCAGTCAGGTGTTTTTACCACTCACTGTCAGTCAGGTATTTTTAACAAACACTGTCAATCAGGTGTTTTTACCACTCACTGTCAGTCAGGTATTTTTACCACTCACTGTCAATCAGGTATTTTTACCACCCACTGTCAATCAGGTGTTTTTACCACTCACTGTCAGTCAGGTATTTTTAAAAAACACTGTCAATCAGGTGTTGTTACCACCCACTGTCAGTCAGGTATTTTTACCACCCACTGTCAATCAGGTATTTTTACCACTCACTGTCAGTCAGGTATTTTTACCACCCACTGTCAATCAGGTGTTTTTACCACTCACTGTCAGTCAGGTATTTTTACCACCCACTGTCAATCAGGTATTTTTACCACTCACTGTCAGTCAGGTATTTTTACCACTCACTGTCAGTCAGGTATTTTTAACAAACACTGTCAGTCAGGTATTTTAACCACCCACTGTCAATCAGGTGTTTTTACCACTCACTGTCAGTCAGGTATTTTTAAAAAACACTGTCAGTCAGGTATTTTAACCACTCACTGTCAGTCAGGTATTTTTAACAAACACTGTCAGTCAGGTATTTTAACCACTCACTGTCAGTCAGGTATTTTTAACAAACACTGTCAGTCAGGTATTTTAACCACCCACTGGCAGTCAGGTATTTTAACCACCCACTGTCAGTCAGGTATTTTTAACAAACACTGTCAGTCAGGTATTTTAACCACCCACTGTCAGTCAGGTATTTTAACCACCCACTGTCAGTCAGGTATTTTAACCACCCACTGTCAGTCAGGTATTTTAACCACCCACTGTCAGTCAGGTATTTTAACCATCCACTGTCAGTCAGGTATTTTTAACAAACACTGTCAGTCAGGTATTTTAACCACTCACTGTCAGTCAGGTATTTTTAACAAACACTGTCAGTCAGGTATTTTAACCACCCACTGTCAGTTAGGTATTTTAACCACCCACTGTCAGTCAGGTATTTTAACCATCCATTGTCAGTCATGTATTCTTACCACCCATTGTCAGTCAGGTATTTTTAACGCCCACTGTCAGTCAGGTATTTTTACAACACACTGTCAGTCATATATTCTTACCACCCATTGTCAGTCAGGTATTTTTACAGCCCACTGTCAGTCAGGTATTTTTGCTATGCACTGTCAGTCAGGTATTTTACCACCTACTGTCAGTCAGGTACTTTTACCACCTACTGTCAGTCAGATATTTTTACCACCCACTGTCAGTCATATATTTTTATCACCTACTGTCAGTCAGATATTTTTACCACCCACTGTCAGTCATATATTTTTACCACCTACTGTCAGTCATATATTTTTACCACCTACTGTCAGTCATATATTTTTACCACCTACTGTCAGTCAGGTATTTTTACAACCCGCTATCAGTCAGGTATTTTTACCAGCCACTGGCAATCAAGTATTTTAACAGGTTGTTTCAATATTCTTAAACATGAAGAAGATGACAAAACAAAAAGAAAAAGAAATAATTTCTTTAATAATAAAAATTTGCGAGACAAAAACGTTTATTTGATGATATGATCAAACAAATCTCAATGTTTAATATGATATTAATACATTATTATTATTAGGTGATTTTATATAGCGCAATACCCCAACCTAGGGCTAGGCTCACTGCACGCTATATCCCAGCTAAGGGCTAGGCTCACTGTGCGCTATACCACAGCTTAGGGCTAGGCTCACTGTGCGCTATACCCCAGCTTAGGGCTAGGCTCACTGCGCGCTATACCCCAGCTTAGGGCTAGGCTCACTGCGCGCTATACCCCAGCTTAGGGCTAGGCTCACTGCCCGCTATACCCCAGCTTAGGGCTAGGCTCACTGCGCGCTATACCCCAGCTTAGGGCTAGGCTCACTGCGCGCTATACCCCAGCTTAGGGCTAGGCTCACTGCGCGCTATACCCCAGCTTAGGGCTAGGCTCACTGTGCGCTATACCCCAGCTTAGGGCTAGGCTCACTGTGCGCTATACCCCAGCTTAGGGCTAGGCTCACTGCGCGCTATACCCCAGCTTAGGGCCAGGCTCACTGCACTTCACATAAAAATTAGCAATTAAATGATTTTTCCACTTAAATGCAGTCAAACGATCAAATTACAGTCAAATGAAATTTATCTCAAATTTCAACAAATGATCAAACTTGTATCAATCATGAGCGTTTTATAACATCACAAGTAATAAAATAATATCGGTTAGAGAAATAAGTGACCTAAATTGAAACATGGTGTTATGAAATAACAAAGTCATGTCCATGTTGTTGGCACGTGATTCGAGGAATCTAATTTTAGACTTTTATCTCGCCCCTGCGACTTAACAAAATTTTACGTATGAGATGTAACACAGACTTATCGCGGTACGACCCCTGCGGGGCAAATATGGCGGACAAAAGTATTAGGCAAATATTATCGTTTAACGTGAGCATTCATCAAACCTCGTTTCACATTATAATTATCTTACTAAATAAGTGCACCATTAGTTGGTGTCTTCAATCATAGTGCTGACATCTCTACCACATTAAGTTATTGTCCTGTGCTCTGAGAAGATAAGTATGTACCAATAATTGAGCCTAAGGAGAACACGTTAGTGCCTGCAGCTGGCTATGAGGCTAATATGTTTGTACCAGTAGCTGACTATTAGGCTAATGCGTTTGTACCAGTAGCTTACCCTGAAGTTAATATGTTTGCACCAGTAGCTATGAGGTTATTGGTTTGTACCATTAGCTGCATATAATGCTAATATGTTTTTACCCGTAGCTGGATCCGAGGCTAATATGTTTGTACCAGTAACTGGCTATGAGGATAACATATTTGTACTGGCCTTGAGGTTAACTTGTTTGTGTCCATAGCTCACCTTGAAGATAACAAGTTTGTACCAGTAGCTGACTCTGAAGATAAAAGTTTGTACCAGTAGCTGGCTCTGAAGGGAGTGGGTTGGATGCAGGAGAAACTCATGTATTTTAAATGTCTTGAAGCTCATTTGATGATGCAGCTTGTAGCCCAGTAGATGAGACGAAGCGTGCAGCTAATTAGGTGAGGCAAGACTTGCAGCCCAGAAGATGAGGTAGGTCTGGCAGCCCAGAAGATGAGGCAGGTCTGGCAGCCCAGAAGATGAGGCAGATCTGGAAGCCCAGAAGATGAGCCAGGTCTTGCAGCCCAGAAGATTAGGCAGCTCTGGCAGCCCAGAAGATGAGCCAGGTCTTGCAGCCCAGAAGATTAGGCAGCTCTGGCAGCCCTGAAGATGAGGCAGGTCTGGCAGCCCAGTAGATCAGCCAAGCCTTGCAGCCCAGTAGATGTTTGTAACTTGTAACTCACACACAGTGTCAACGAAAAGCGTGTAAAACAATCCCATTGTATTATCCGAAGTAATTTATTAACACAAATTATTAACCACCAATATTTTACAAAACTTCAAAATCGTACAAGAATAAGTTATATATTTATTGACTCTATTTCCACCCATTTATCCCAACTGATATTTACATCTGATTATAATATCACTCAATTAATATTTATCTATGTTCTCTTTTCCCGCATCTTTCTTCTGCTTGTGTTTCTGTACTTTTAGTAGAATGTTGCTAAGTGTCATAAGAAGCCCCGCCCCAAACATGCAAGCTCCGCCCAGATAAAACGAGCTGTCAAACGTTCCCAGCGCATCTCTGAGAGCACCTGTTGGTGTTGGATTAAAAACAAAAATTAACTTTTTTCCCTATAACAAATTAAGATCTAAAGAAAAAAGTGAGAAATACGCCGTGGTGCCCTAGGCCCACGTTGAGAAATACTTGAACATTGGAGAAACACTTAGATAACTTACTAACTGTTTAACATTGTGGGGTAAGAAAAGATTTCATCTGGTTAATTTTTTTGCCACAAAAAGTTGTGTCTTTCCAACGAAATGTCAAATACATAAAAATTAATAACTGTGAACTAACCTGCAAAAGGTGGACCTACAAGTGTTCCCACGCCCTGGAACACCCTGTTGATTCCCAGGGAACTAGGCATGACCTCTCTACCTAGAATGTCAACCAGCACCACAATTTTCTGGGAAATGAACGCACCGGTCATAAACCCATACGCCGAGCTTACCACACAGAAAGCAGCAAATGTGTCCAATGAGGGCACCAAGAAGGACGCTCCGGCGATGAAGAACAGGAGAAGATTGAAGACGTAAGGCCGGAATGGTCGACATGCCGGGATGTCCATGAGGAAACCTGAACAAATCAAACAAGATGTTCGATCAGAGGACATTAGTCGCTTTCTGTACAAAGTAAAGCTAAATGAAAAATAAGCCTTTTAAACAAGTGACGTAAACGCTAACAGAATTTTACAATAGAAATCTTATATGAGGTTTTAAAATGATTGAGCGGAAAAATTGGATTGTGAAGACTGGCTTTTTAAATTGACATTAACAGAAAGAGGTTAGAAATGAGTAAAATGTAAATTATGGATCTCTTTTTTTTAAGAGATTAAAAAAATAAAACCATTCTTTACGAAGAAGTCAGGTAATCTACCGGTTGCCATGCGACCAAATGTGTCAAGCGCTCCTGAGATGGTCAAAACTAAAGCCGCTTCAGTTCTTGTGAGACCTTTTGACAAGACCATGGCGGGCATGAAGGTGAAGGCCGTCTTGAAGGCCATCAGGAAAAACGTGTTGCTGACGCAGAATACCAGGAACGGAATGTTCTTCAGCAAGTGCCAATGAAAAGCTTCTCGCTTGCTCGACACATCTTTTCTCTTGTGCTCCACCGGGAAGCAGATGGCCAGGGACGATTTTAGCCAGTTGCTCTTCTTCGGGATTTTATTGATCTTCGGAAGTGACGTGGCGACATTCAGAGTTTCACAACTGGCAAGAAACGGCTCAACACCGTTCTCCATTGATTTGATCTCAGCATCATCCTCCTTCCTGAGACGGACCATCATCGTGTCATCCTCGTGGTTGGACATATCTGAAGTGCTGTCGTGCATGTCTGTCATGGCGTCTCCCTCTTCTACGTTGGCCAGTCTTCTATTTTTTAACCTGAAATGACCACGAGAAGCTCTTCAGTAGACATCCCAGGAAACTCTATTTTTAAATTTAAAAATTAGTCAATCATAACAAAGACAAAAAAAAGTTGTAATATTTTGAAAAAGTCTTCTAAAAAATGCCCAAGTTACTTGCAGATACTGGGACATTTTGAAATTAAGATAAAATCTCCTACGGAGAAGCAATCTGTAACCTTTCAACAAAGGTTGGATCACGTGGTCAACTACCTTCCTGGTATTTACATTTTAGTTATATGTTCTAGATAGTTGGACCGTAATAACTCGTCAAGATATTAAAGGGATAGCTATTTATTTATACAAGGAAGGCGGTGCTTTTCTGAATTAAGACCAGACAGAATTAAGAGTCTTTCCGCAAAGAGCCTCTGTCATCATATGTATACAGAATACTTGAAACTAATAATGAATGTGTTTGTGTGTTTCTGTGTGTGTGTGTGTGTGCGTGTGGGTGGGTGTGTTTGTGTGTTCCGACCCTGCCAACTATCGTCCGATATCCCTCACCAGCGTGGTCTGCAAAATGTTAGAGCACATAATCGTAAGCACAGTCATGAAGCATCTTGAAATCCAAAATATACTCAATGACTGTCAACATGGCTTCCGAGTCAATAGATCATGTGAGACCCATCTCCTTGAGTTTGTAGAACACTTGATGACAAATCTGGAGAACCACAAGCAGACTGACGTGCTGGTGATGGATTTCGCAAAGGAATTTGACCACGTCAATCATAGTTTGCTTCTACACAACTCAAAAGATTTGGGATCCAAGGCACCACTAAAACATAGATCTCTAGCTTCCTCAGCCACCGATGCCAAGCAGTAGTGGTGGACGGTACAAGCTCCTCCTTTGTCGATGTGAAGTCAGGAGTCCCCAAGGGATCAGTGCTAGGCCCCTGTTTGTTCATAGCATACATTAATGACCTACCCGAGAAACTGACATCACAGGCAAGACTGTTCGCAAATGACACAGCAGTGTATAGGACGATCGCTAACAGATCTGACCAGGGCCAGCTACAACAGGATCTCAATCTGTTAGCTCAGTGGGAGATGAGCTGGGACATGGAATTTCACCCTGCCAAGTGCAAGACACTATCAGTTTCTAGAAGTAGTACTCCTCTACACTACCAATACGAACTGCATGGCCATAGACTTGAGCCAGTTTCTTCCGTAAGGTACCTGGGTGTTACCATTCAAGAGAGGCCCACTGGGACGAGCATATTAACAATGTATGTAATCAAGCAAACAAGACCCTGGGTTTTTTAGGCGCAATCTAAAGATTGGCAACTCCTGTGTAAAAGAAAAAGCATATAAAGCCTTTGTCCGTCCGGTTTTAGATTATGCATCTTCATTGTGGGATCCATTTACCCAGAAGAGCATTGACAGGTTGGAGGCGGTCCAGCGACGGGCAGCTCGCTTTCTCCTAAATTGATACAGGAATACCTCTATTGTTGACTGCATGCTGGAAATACTCGGCTGGTCACCATTGGAGGAACGACGACGACAATCCAGGCACTCCATGATGTACAAAATAATGGGCTGGTCCACTGTTCCAATATAAAACAGAAACTCGTCCCTCTCCCCCATAGACAGCGACGAGGCCATGAAAGGCAATTCTGGCTCATACCAGCAAGAAGCCAGTATAGGAACTGTTCATTCCTGCCCAAGACAATCAGGGACTGGAACAAGCCTCGAAAAATAACAGTTGAGGCGACAACACTAGACACATGTGCGTCCTTTGCCTTAGGCCTTCCACCACCCATTGCATGATACATCACTAAATGGCACTGGCAATCAGTGATATATGCTCATCAACACCAGGCACAGAAACATTGCATATCCCCTCTACATGCATAGGAGCCAAAATGATCAATACATTGATCGTGGGCCCTTTCTATATAGAAGAAATGGTAAAGGTACATAACTGTTCTACCAAGACCACCGAAAAATGTAACTTTTTAAAATCTAGTAAAATAATCAGTAATAACCTATCTGCTCGAAGAAATCTTAAGTGCATACTGAGAGGTCTGAAAAACATGGCTGCCACTAAACCGTTGAGTTGTATCGATCCGATTATAAGGAAGGCCCCCTGTGGAAGACGAAATAGACATTTAACTTTACATGAGTACCGAAGTGACCACTGGTCTAGTTTAAATACTTAAGGTCTTCTCAGGAGTGACAACTGGTCTAGTTTAAATACTTAAGATCTTCTCAGGAGTGGCCACTGGTCTAGTTTAAATACTTAAGGTCTTCTCGTGAGTGACCACTGGTCTAATTTAAATACTTAAGGGCTTCTCAGGAGTGACCATTTATCTACAATAAATACTTAAGGGCTTCTCATGAGTGCCTACTGGTCTAGTTTAAATATATAAGGGCTTATTAATGTGCAACAATAATTGATCAATGCTTAAAATTTATTCATTTTTATTTCAATTGGTTAAACATGTTTTTGGTTGTGGGGATATGGGTGATGTTCAATGAAACCAAGTTTCATCCTTGAATCACTTTATTGCGTTCGGAAAAATTTGTCCAAAATGCTTGAGAGGTATTATTGACAAATAGAGTCTGAGCATTAGATCTATTTACTTGAGAGGTATTATTGACAAATAGAGTCTGAGCATTAGATCTATTTACTTGAGAGGTATTATTGACAAATAGAGTCTGAGCATTAGATCTATTTACTTGAGAGGTATTATTGACAAATAGAGTCTGAGCATTAGATCTATTTACTTGAGAGGTATTATTGACAAATAGAGTCTGAGCATTAGATCTATTTACTTGAGAGGTATTATTGACAAATAGAGTCTGAGCATTAGATCTATTTACCTCCCCATTAAAATTTTAAAACATTTAGATGTAAAATCATATGTCTTTATAACATTTCAATGAGTTGTTTTATGAAGTAATGTCATTAGGGTGTGCCGTTAGGTAATGTCATTAGGATGTGCAGTTAAGTAATTTCATTAGAGTGTGCCCTTAGGTAATGTCATTAGGGTGTGCCGTTAAGTAATGTCATTAGGGTGTGCCGTTAAGTAATGTCATTAGGGTGTGCCGTTAAGTAATGTCATTAGGGTGTGCCGTTAAGTAATGTCAGTTGTAAAATGTTAAGGAGGTGTTTCATTATAACATTTTAATTTGGTTTTCAGTAAAAATCATCTAACTTTGGTTTGCCATCTCAATTTATTTTTCCGTTATATCATCTAACTTATGTTAGCCGTTATATCATCTTAATTTGGTTTGCGGTTATATCGTCTAACTTTGGTTTGCCATTATGTCATGCCATGTATGGCGACAAGACATCTGATTGTGTTATGTCGTCACAACTTGTTTTTCACTCACAGTAAACCCGTACTCTTCAAACAGCAACTGGACCAGAGGAACGATGGCGAACGTTCCGAAACCAACACCAGCAGAGGAGAAACCTTGGGCCGAACTTCTGTGCTTGTCAAAGTACAGATTGAGAAGCAACACTGTCGACATAAGACCGCGTCCTATACCTGGGACAGAAACATAAAAAAAAGTCTTCAGTATCATTAAATCATAGCAGAATGTCACTACAAGTATGTCAGTGTCAACAAATATATTGGTCAAGATTATTTTAAAGTTACTGTCAAAAGAGCACTTTGGAAGCTGTTATCAAAATTTATAAATATCTACTTGTCTATCTCACCTCCGACTATGGTCTGTGAGAAAAACAAGAAATAAACATTGGGAGCTAATCCATTGAGGATGAATCCAAGGGACGTCAAGAGTGTTGCAATAATTAGTGCGGTCCTCACACTGTACCGGTTGACAACAGCCCCACACAATGGACCTGTAACAAAAAATATGCTTAAAATATGCTTTAACGTTAATAAATAGATCATTTTGTCAGTGATATTGTTGATGAATTAAATAAACAAAGCTATCAAAATGGAGGAAATCTTTCGCTATATGCCTACAGTATTCATAGCATAGCTTATCATCCTATTGAAAGGAGGGGTAGAATGATCCACTTACCCATAAACAGATTCAGTGTGGACATCAAAGAACTTGGCCATGAGGTCAGCTGGGCACCCGACTGAAATCTATCCTGGTACTGAAGGAAGAACAACCCCTCACTTCTGGCAAAACCACCTGAGGAATATATTTTTTTAATAAAAATAAGATCACTCAAACGACAAGGTTACCAACATCTACAAACAACTGAAAATCAGAATATCAAATAATTATTAGAAAAAGTCTAATATTTTCATGAGCGTGATTTAAATCAATTGTGTCATTTCATTTTGATATATGCCATTGTTGTGCTTAGATAGACAAGTCAAGGATATCTCACCTAACACATACGTTAGATGAGACTAGCATATCTCAGTTAAGCCATACGATAGATGAGACTAGTATACCTCACCTAAGACAGATGAGACTAGCATATCTCGACCTAAGACATATGGTAGATGAGATTAGCATTTCTCACCTAAGGCATGCAGTAGATGAGACTAGCATATCTCATCAACACATAAAGTAGATGAGACTAACATATCTCACCTAAGACATACAGTAGATAGGACTAGCACATCTCACCTTAAACATACGCTAGATGAAACTAGCATATCTCACCTAAGAAATATGATAGATGAGACTAACATATCTCACCTAAGATATACATTGGGCCAGACTAGGATATCTCACCTAAGACATACATTGGGCCAGACTATGATATCTCACCTAAGACATACATTGGGCCAGACTAGGATATCTCACCTAAGACATAGATTGGGCCAGACTAGGATATCTCACCTAAGACATACATTGGGCCAGACTAGGATATCTCACCTAAGACATACATTGGGCCAGACTAGGATATCTCACCTAAGATCATGTGATGCATGAACGACGCAACCACAACAACCCAACCATAGCCACCATCAAGGGCTTTCAGTAGCGGCCCGTATTCTCCACTTGTTGTTATTTTACAACCTGCTCCACCCTTCATTGCTCCACCATTCACTGCTCCACTATCCACTGTGTCATGTGAAGAATCAACTTTCTACGAAGTATAGAGAAGTGCATAAATCATTTTATTTTAAGCATGAAAAGCATGCCAACATTATTATATTTGTCCGTCACGTATTTAATCCACATTTGTTCCATCTTAAATGGCAGATTTGCGAACAGGTCTAGTTAGAAAAGTATCTTAATTCTTGAGTAATTAGAACTCTTAAATCAAATAAATACATTTAATTCTAATGCTCCAACGACGTTCTTCCAATGACGTGTCTTCGCGTTAGTAATAATTATCTTATTGGCAACTAATTTATTGATTAATCACTTTCATTTGTTGATCTATTAGTACCTCGCAAAATGATCGATTAAACTTTCAAAACAGACAAGAGCAGCTCGGCAACCATCAGATAATTAGAGTGGTTCTCATCGAGTCCACGGAGGAAAGAATGCATTAATTTCATGTTAGTTGATTCTTAATAAGTTATTCAATGAAATCATTGAAAGCTATTCAAATAGGATCAGTTAAAAAGTAATAAAAATATAATATCGAATTCACTGAAAATTTAAACTATGAAAAACCTACCGAAAGTAAATAGCTGTCCATTTCTTCGACATATTTGTTATGTCCTGTACCTAATTGATCAAGGTCAGTGTTTTCACTGTCCATTTCTTTACTAACCACTGGTGAATTCTGATGAATGAGACCCTCAGCTCCCACTGACATGGTCTCAATCGTGGTCTTGGTGCAATTAGACTCCATAGTGTAGCACTGCCTTCCACTCTGACGATACTCTCAGCTTTGAGTTTTAGATGAAAATTAAATACTATTCTAATTGTAAACTTTAAAATATTTGTTTATAACTACCACAGATGTAATTTACGGAAAATTAATACATATTTAAACTGAGAAGCTTATTGTAAATGACGTATGCATAATTAATATTAAAATTTTTATTTCTATCAAATGAAAGCTATACGTTCTTTTCATGTTGATTTCCAAACTATAATTGCAGATATTACAGCCGATTAAGACAAGACAAAACAGTAGAGTAGTTTGGATTAGTGCCACTCGGGGTATACCCCCTCCACACCCCCCCCTCTTTCATAAAGCCACTGAACATAATAGTTGACGCCCATTAACAAGTTGAGACTTTTGTCCCACTTAATGACGTCACTCGACCAGAAGCGCCTTGACATCTTTTCAGTAATAGAGAAAGCGTGTTAACGTCAGGGTTCAGGCGGCAGTCAGACTGGAGAATCAGATCAACACTAGGGAAGATCTGGTGAATCACATAAACACTAGGAAAGATCTTTAGAATCACATAAACACTGGGAAAGATCTCGTGAATCACATCACCACTGGGAAAGATCTCGTGAATCACATAAACACTGGGAAAGATCTCGTGAATCACATAAACACTGGGAAAGATCTCGTGAATCACATAAACACTGGGAAAGATCTGGTGAATCACATAAACACTGGGAAAGATCTGGTGAATCACATAAACACTGGGAAAGATCTCGTGAATCACATAAACACTGGGAAAGTTCTCGTGAATCACATCAACACTAGGGAAGATCTCGTGAATCACATAAACACTGGGAAAGATCTCGTGAATCACGTAAACACTGGGAAAGATCTCGTGAGTCACATCAACACTAGGGAAGATCTCGTGAATCACATCAACACTAAGGAAGATCTCGTGAATCACATCAACATTAGGAAAGTTCTCGTGAATCACATAAACACTGGGAAAGATCTCGTGAATCACATCAACACTAGGGAAGATCTCGTGAATCACATCAACACTAGGAAAGATCTCACGAATCACATAAACACTGAGAAAGATCTCGTGAATCACATCAACACTGGGAAAGATCTCGTGAATCACATCAACACTAGGGAAGATCTCGTGAATCACATAAACACTAGGGAAGATCGAGTGATTTACATAAACACTAGGGAAGATCTAGAAAATAATTATAAATAGTTTATTCTTTCATCAATTCAAGCTAATCGCTTTCAAATACTTCACGTGTTTCCTAATTCTATTGTTTTGGCTTGTTCTGGTTGCGCCAACGTCTATGCTTTGGAATATGTTTCAAGCTTCAATATATCTTGTTCCTAATATTATATAGATAATAAATACTAGCTTCCTAGCCTATACGACTAATGGAATACATTAGAATTACCTACATTTATCATTAGAATTACCTACATTTGAAACTAGAAAAACCTATATTCCCCACCAGAAGTACCTACATTCATCACTAGAAGTAGCTACAGGCATCACTAGAAGTACCTACATTCATCACTAGAATTACCTACATTTGACACTAGAAGTACTTATATTCATCACTAGAAGTACCTACATTCATCAATAGAAGTACCTATATTCATCACTAGAAAAACCTACAATCATCACCAGAAGTACCTACATTCATCACTAGAAGTACCTACATTCATCACTAGAATTACCTACATTTGACACTAGAAGTACCTATATCAGTCACAAGAAGTACCTATATTCATCACTTGAATTACCTACATTCATCACTAGAATTACCTACATTTGACACTAGAAGTACCTACTTTCATCACAAGAATTACCTACATTTAACACTAGAAGTACCTACATTCATCACAAGAATTACCTACACCAATCACAAGAAAAACCTACATTCATCACTAGATCTACATTATTCACTAGAAATACCTATATTCATCACTAGAAGTGCTTACATCAATCACAAGAAGTACGTACATTCATCACTAGAAGTACCTACATTCATCACTAGAAGTACCTACATTCATCACTAGAAGTACCTACATTCATCATTAGAGATGCCAACATTCATCACTTGAAGTTCCTATTTTGGCCATACAAAAGCACTTAAAAAACTCACGGCTATAAAATTAAACTCAAATTTTACTGAAATTTAAATAAAGATGTACCTACTTGCTTCACGTAATTTTTTAAAACTGTAATGATGTAATTGGTTTACCACGGAGACTAGGACAACCCCCTAATCAAGTCGGACAAAAAAATGAATATGATATTTTAGTGGCACTGATGATATTTTACAAGGTATGCCAATATAGAAGAAGACCCAAGGAACGGCACCCAGAAAAAGGCAATTTTTTTTTTATTCATTGACACACGATGGTATTCAAACATTGATAAGCATGTGGGTGAGAAGTGTGTGCAATTTTAGTGCTGTAATGAGAGATAGAAGAATTAACATGAATCACAAGACATCACAAGACAAGAAAGTACACCTTTGACTCATCGTAGGTCTAAATAGATGACAGAATTATTTACTCTGGAGACACATGACGTAGAAGGGCAGCCTAAATTTTATCTGTTGACAAAACGTGATACAGTTAACCGAGAAACCTGAAGCTCGAAACACGAAGTGCATCTGATATCTTTCAAGTATTTCATTTAAAATTAAAGGGTTGATTATTTTTTAACATGCGGTGTGCTGATATTTAAATGAATCGCTCGTAAATGGCACTGATAATTTCATCTGCCAAATATTTTCACAATATTTCAATTACACATAAATATATATATATATATATATATATATATATATGTATATATATATGTGTGTGTGTGTATATATAACGTTTTCATGTGGTAAAGCACATGTGTCAAACTCAAGGCCTTCGGACCACATTCGGCCCGCCGTACAATTATATCAGGTCCACTAAGTCTTGACCGGCGTACACCTATATACAAGTCAACGCTATGGTGTTTCCCAATGCACACTTTGATGAAAAGCTTAGTTTACTTTGCGCCGAGCTCGTGCGGCGCTTTGGTGACTTTGAAGCGCAGAAATGTCATTTCGAGCTGTTTTTGTAACCCATTTATCATAGACGTGGAAACTGCACCTGTAAATTTTCAGATGGAGCTAATAGAGCTGCAGTGTAATGGGGCACTAAAGGCAAAGCACGACACAGTTTGGCCTACACAGTTCACTCGTTTCATTCCAAAAGAGATGCCCCAGCTTCGTCTACATGCTCGCTCGTCGCCATGGTATGCGATCGTTAGTGACCAACTTCGTCTTGCAAAACTTGAGCGAAGACGTGCTGAAAGACGCTGGCTAAAGACTGGACTGTGTGTCGATAGACAGATCTTTTGCACAGCGAAGGAGACCTTGGCAGAGATTGTACAGAAGGCAAAGGATGACTACTGGAGCTCAAAGATCGAATCATGTGCATCAACCAAGGCGCTGCTCAGCGTTAGAAACCGTCTTCTTGGCAACAGCAAGGATTTCACTCTCCCTACCGACATTTCACCAGATTAACCCCCAGACGCCTTTGCGAACTTTTTCATCCCCAGGGTGCAAACTATCAGAGAGGATTTAGACTGTACGACCCTTACACCTTCCTCGCCGTTCTCGGAGGACGTTAGTCAGACAGAATCATTTGATAGATTCTTGCCGGTGACTGAGGATGTGGTGACGCGAGTCATCATCAGGTCTGCTCCCAAGTCTTGTGCCCTCGATCCGATCCCCGTCCCAATGCTTGTAGAATACCTGGACGTCCTCCTCCCAGCACTCATCTCAATCATAAATTCTTCTATTCTCTCTGGCATATTCCCTCCCATTGTTAAAAGGTCGATTGTCCTGCCCCTCCTAAAGAAACCCTCACTTGACCCAAACACACTCAAGAATTACCGCCCCGTCAGTAAACTCTCCTTTCTCTCAAAAATTATAGAAAAACTCATACTCTCTCAGCTCTCTGACTATCTTCCCTCTCGCAATCTCTATCCTTCCTCTCAGTCCGCCTACCGACTTGGTTATAGCACAGAAACAACACTGGTCCGAGTCATGAGCGACCTCCTGCGCGCGATGGACAGTGGCAAACTCTCTATTCTCACTCTGTTGGATCTCTCTGCTGCATTTGATACCATT